AGATGGGATGTTTGGCGGTCTGAGAAAGGTTGAGCTTTGGGACTCTGATGACATACTAGATCCCACACGGCCCCTTATCTTCACCTCCTCCTCCAGGGTCTCTTTCCCTGTTTTGCGGATTGAGTAAATTTGATTGAATTGCCTTTAATTCAGTGATTTCATCTTTTGCCATCTACATCTACCAAATTGTTTCCATTTTTGTGGTTGCACTTCTCAGTTCTGTAACTCTAATTGGTTCATTTTTGGTATTTTACAGGTTTCAAGGGATTTCATAGTTACTTGTTGAAACCATGTTTGGTGGCTGATTTAAAATCTTTGCCAGATAGTTCCAACATCTGATTCATCCCACTCCTGGTGTCAGCTATTATCTTCTCTCATTGTGTTGTAATTTGCCTGGATTTGGTATGACACGTGATTTTTTTTTTTAAGATTTATTTATTTATTCATACAGAACTGGGGTACAGGCCAGAGATGCAGAGGGTGAGAGAATTCACCAGGGACAGAGTGGGGAGCAGAACAGGCAGATCAATGAAGTACACTGCTGAGGGGAGCAGCGGGGGGGTCAGGAGAGGTCTGCCCCACCATGTGGATCTCCTCCGGGGCAGGCGGGAATCGAACTCATGCGGAAGTAGCTTTAGCTTCTTTGTGCAGTGCAGTAACCCGCTGCGCCACCAGGGAGGGCCAGACAAGTGATTTCTTTTTTAAGATTTATGTATTTGGCCCTCCCTGGTGGCGCAGCAAGTTAAGCACAGCACTAAGAACTTAAAGCCCCTGCAGCATGAGTTCGATCCCCTCCCCAGAGGTGATCCAAATGATGTAGCAGACCTCTCCTGGCCTGCCCACTGCTTCCCTCGGCAGTGTACTTCATCGTTCTGCCTGTTCCGCTACCCACTCTGTCTCTGGTGAATCCTCTCACTGCACCTGTGCCTCTGTTCTGTATGCATAAATACATAAATCTTTAAAAAAAAAAAAAAGAGTGGGGAGCAGAACAGGCAGACTGACAAAGCACACTGCTGACAGGATCAGCGGGTGGGTCAGGAGAGCTCTGTTGAGCCATGTGGGTCACCTCCTGGGCCGGAGATCAAACTTGCACTGAAACATCTGTGGCCAGTGTGCAGTGCTGCATCCTAACCCATTGTGCCACCAGGGAGGACCCCGACAAGTGATTTCTGATGGTATCCTGAATATGTTGCATATTTTGTTAGGTGTCACTTAACCTTGCATAAATCTTTTAGTATGCAGCCACCCCATATAGTTTTTGCTGCAGTTTCAACAACTTTGTCTTCTTGATAATAATAAGGGCTGAAAATGCCCTTTTCATTTTGGGAAATAGGAAGCTTACAGCTCTTCAGAAACGTGGCCAAAGGGACTCCTAATCTTTGCACACTGGACACTTTTAGATCACCTATGAGCTTTTCCACAGTAACTGTAGAGCAACTGGGAATTACACCTGAAAGCTCTGTAGAGAACGCTTCAGGAAAGTCATCATCCTACCTTAGAAAATCCAGGTGAGGCTCTACAGCTGGCACTTGGGGTTCTCCTGAAACAAGTAAGATGATGCTTAGCAATGGAATTTAAAGAGTGCAGAGAAATTTTCTTTAGGAAAACAACTTTTCCCTTTTCAGAAAGCTTTGGAATCTTGGTTAGCAGTCTGAATATTCGGTTGAAGAGTCTATCCCATTTTTAAATTTCACAGAGATGAAATGAAGAAGCCTGACAACATTCAGAAGCAAGAGGTGCTTCGTCTTTTGCCATACTGGATCCAAACTTGAAGTACACTGTGATTTAGAAGAAAGGATCCAATCCGACTTTGCCAACCTCAACCCCATAAGTAGTGCCCACTGACAAAGCCTTACTTTCAAGGGAGGTGATGCTAGTGAGTCATGGTATAGGGGTTTCAACTGAGGAGTGATAGCAATGTGGGACCAATGAGACAGGGATAAGAAACTGCTGTGGGTGGGACAAATGGGGTCACCTCCCAATTTCAGTGCACTCTATTATTTACAAGGCATTTCAGGCATACTCTGTACACCTATACATTGAAGCTGTTAACTTATGAAGGTCTTGTAAGAACTAATCATCTATTATGTACACATTGCAATTAAGTAAATTCAGGCCCAGAGAAGCTGAGTGACATACCTGGAGGTGCACAGTGGCAAAGCAAGTTCTCAAGGTCTTCTCTTTCTCCGAACTCCAACATCTCGTGTTTTAGCTATTTCCAAGTAGACGGTGGGAGTAAAGGAAAGAAGAAGAGCTGGACAGAAGCTAATAGATAAAATAAAAAGAATGTTTTCTTTCTTTCCTTTTTTTTTTTTTTTTTTGTTCATAGGTATATGCACGTGTGTGCAAAAAATTTTAAGATAAAGGAGACCTGTAAATAATGGGAAAGGGAGTGAAAGTGGAGAGAAGGTGAATGTCAGAGCACACTTAAGCACTGCATCTTTGCTGCCAGGAATTCTAACCGCTGCATCTGAGAATTCCACACCTTACATCAAAATGGGCCACATACCTTTCAGAGTCAATGTGGCAAGCTTTAATCAAGATCCCAGGGGGGACTTGTAAAGGCAACCAGAATACTTTCACAGTTTGAATGTGCATGAATTGCATTCTCATGAAATAGTAAAGTGTGCTTCAGGCATTCAACATTAAGCTGCAGAAGCTGAAGGAGGCAGAGGAGAAAGTAAGAGAGGGGAGGAAGGTGTTACCGCTGTGTCTTCTGTGAATGTACCACCTAATGAGACAGCAGGTGGGAAGGAGTCACTTCTGTAGACTTAGAGACTATTTTGTTCAATTCACTGTCTCGGATGTATGGCTTTTGGAGAGAGCCAGTGGGTAGCCTTTCTCTGGCCCACAAGCGTATTTGCTGAATTATTTATCTTATCCCAAAAGAGCTTTTACTCAAATTACTTTACATGTCCTTTCTCTGAATATAAACCTGCTTGTGATGATGGAGTTCCCTGACTAATGAAGTAAGTAACCCTCCCACAGACTTAAAACACTGGTTACATTCTCTTCTTTAAAGTTCTAATGTCCTGTAAGGATCTCACAGAAGCTTTGGAAAAGGGCCACAAATGATTGGCCAATCAGAATGTTCATTAGTTGGTAAGATGGAGAAGTGATCTATAGGGTAGAATTCAACAATAATGCCAAAGGCCAGAGCCTCACTATCCTAATCTTAGTCATTATTGAAGTTAAACTGAGATAAATGGAAAATGCCCTCTAACCACATGAAGATCAAATTAAAGAGTGAGATCGCAGGAAATCAAATAGCATGTACTGAACTGTCACAAGCACTTACTCCGATACAAACCAGCACACATCACACTTTTTTTTAACCTGAAGTGATTCTGGCTTTCAGGCTTCTAAAATCTTTGCAATCCTACCTCTTGCTGGGCGCTCTCAGATCTGATATTAATAAAGGTTGCAAAACTGACTATAAAATATCACTGTCAAATAGAAGCTATTGCTTCCTGCATGGATGTTCAAGCAGTTTATATCTTTTATCCTTTAACAACAATATAAATTAATCCAGTATCCTTTAGTCGGTGACTATGGAAACTGATCTCCAATATTTCAGTAACTGGACAATACTAAAAATGACAGCTTCCTTCAAGGGCAGCTATGGAAACTGATCTCCAATATTTCAGTAACTGGACAATACTAAAAATGACAGCTTCCTTCAAGGGCAGCTATTCATTTGTTTTACATTAAAAAAAATTAAATCAGCCACCTTCAAATTCAACTTGTAGTCTTTCAAACCTAAGTCCCACAGATTTTATGATTATTTGAGAGAAGTTGAGCAGCAGAAGCACATGGCAAAAGAGGCAGACAACTGCTTTTCAGGGAAAAATCTGGACTGTTGACCTCAAGTATGTCTCCAAGACCTGTTCACTTGCCCTTTGCTAGCACTGAGGTCTGTCAGAAAAGGCGCCAAACTTCTGTCAGAAACGGCGCTAAACTTCGATGTGGAACATTTTCCTTTTGGAACACTGTTTCTTACCTCAGATCTTCCTAGAGCTGAGAGCTTTAGTGTGTAAATCCTCCTCTAAAAGACTTCTCTCCAACCAAGAGTGCCCAAGAGACCTGCCTGAGAGAACAGAGTCATTTTTAAGGTACACTTTTAGACTAACTTATTTGCACAACCCACTTTCTGAAAGCTTGTGGAGTCACGCCAATTAAATTTCACCCAAAGCTCCTCAAAACCCAATTGCACAGTGCTGCCAGTTTCCTTTGTTATTCCCCTAAAAAAAAAAAAAAGTGATACAGGCTTCTCTGTCAACATAATTTGTCTGAGGAACAGTTAAGGCAGGAATTAATAAGAGGCTTCCAATTATAGTTTCACAGAGCCAGGTGATGTCATTCTACCCACCAAGCCTCAAACAGGGTTTCAGGACACAAACTGTGGTGCAGGGCATATGCCAACGTGAGCCTGAGCTGGCTATTTACAGCTGCCCCCTGGGAGGCAGAGTCAGGCGTGCAGAGCAGGGCAGCAAGGAGCACCTGCTCTGGGAAAACACGTGCAGATGGAGCTCGGGGCGTCGGACACAAGGACTGTGCAGGGCTGGAGGGAATGGCTCAGAGAGTGACCGAGGGTGCTGTTGACAGGCAGGTGGGAGGCACAGTGATAAGAGGAAGGAGACTTTGGGCAACGGATTTCTTTTCCACCACAAACTGGCAAGGCTGCGTGGAATGAGTCTTGCTTATCATAATTAAGCTACACACACTCTCGTGGGTGGTGCACATTTGTTTTCTTCTCACCGTTCTCATTTGCTATCTGATGGAAATGAGAAGACTTTTTTTGGTAATTTGTAAGTTTAGCTGTTATTTTAGCTGGTCCAAATGTTCCTTCTAAACTCAGTAATATAAAACGAGATTAAGAAGTGATGTACTTTTTGGAATCAGATATAAATCTTTATATTATTCTGGGATATACATTCTTAACACATGGTCTCAGTTTTTACAACTTGGTACAATTCTTATACTTGATTCATTCAGCCCAGGGCTCTTTAGAAAACTTGTCTCATGGAACATTGTTCTCTAGGTTTGGTTCTACCAGAAGTAGACTCTGAGTCATGGTTCAGACACAAGAAATTTATTAAGGAGGGGCTCCCAAGAGACATAAGTTAATGAATTCTGGAGGAGGAATGCAAGGAGAGTGAAGAAGCCAGGCAAGGCTCCCAACCGTGCTTGGTTCAGAAGAGCTCTGCGGAGTAAATGATGCCTCCAAGCATGTCCTCCCTTGAGACAAGGAAGCTGCATTTTTGGACCTCAATCCAGCTAGTCACTGGCCTTAGATCAAAAGAAGTGGAGGGGACATGTAGCCTTTGGGCTATAACACCTCCAGAGGCTGCTGACTCTCCACAGGGGCTGAACGAGCTCCAGTCCAGGTCATTGGGGACAGAGTTGGCAAGAAAGCGCCAGGGGTGGTGTACACACAGCTTCGGCCCTGCTGCCTGCACGCATCACCAGGCACCTGTCACACGCCTTTCATCAAGTTCTGCTGCAAGAGGAAGTGAATAACATCTTTTGAAAGCCCTGGGGTTGGCTTTTCGTTATCCAGATACACACTTGCTTCCTTGGGTGGGAAGAAGTGGGCATCCCTGGAATGCCTCTGTAAGGCTGAGCAGCCATCCCGGCTGAAGATGACCCGGGCCATCTGGAAACTGCGGAGGGCATACTGTGCCGAGGCCTCCTGGCCCTTCAGTTCGTTGACTTTCTGAGTCAGGCATTGGCAGACAGATGTGGACAGTGGATTTTTAGAATTTTGCTGTGGGTGGCTGAACATTTCATAGAATCTATCCAGAGATTCCCGAAGTCCATCATCCTCTGCTTTGGCTTTGGTCTCTTGTTCATCTTTCAAAGGGTCAAGCCAGAGGTTCTCAGAGGCCCAGGAATCATTGTGCTCAATATTTAGGTTACTGTTGTCTGCAAGACAGAACACATTCAAATACTTGACTATGTATTACCAAGTACCAGAAAGCAAGCGAAAAGCAGGTGATGTCCTTTCTCAATTCAACACACTTCTTGTCCCTGGTTAACTGGAAATGGTCAGGATAGGTTTTAGACTCTGCCCCCACCATCCTGGGGTTATTCTACTTGTTAGCTCAAAACAAAAACCTTGTATTTGCATTTATCAGCAGTTCTAAGCCTGAAGTCTCTGCCCAGAGAAGTTCGGGGTGCTGTGAACTTGGATGGGAAAAAAAAATCAGGTTTTTTTCATTAACCTCTCCCTGAAATCAAGCACGTCTGCCCACGGTGAATGGAGGCAACAAGCTGAGCAGGGAGCAGTACCTGTGATTTGTCACCAACAGGTCAAAGCATTTTCATATCACAGGATAGCTTACTGACGATGTTTTGGAGTATTACTGATGTCTACCACTATTCTAGGTGCTGAACTATGTCCCTCCAAAATCCACACACTGAATCCCTAATTGCTAATGTGATTGTCTCTGGATGGGAATGTGATTGTCTCTGCAATGGGACTTTTAGGAAGCTATTGAGATTAAGTGAGGTTGGGTCCTAATCTGCTACAACTCGTGACCTTAGAAGATGAGGAAGCACCTGAGACCAATCCATATGCGTAACTGGAGAAAGGCCAACTAGGCGCAGCGCAGCGGAAGGGGCCTCCTGCATGCCAGCAGACAGTCCTCACCACACTTGACCAGGCTGGCCCCTGCCCTGGACTGCCAGCCTCCAGAACTCTGAGAAGATAAAAGCCTGTTGGCTAAGCCACCCCGTTTGTGGAGTTTTATTATGGAAGCCTGAGCAGACTAAGACACACACGTTTGAAATGACTGTAGTGACTAGTCTTGATACTAGATCTTATTATTTAATCCTTAATTTGAAGGATTAAATTAATCCCTTTAATTTAATTAATCCATATTCATGTTAATGTCATAAACATGTGCTTTAAATATTTTACTAATTACATCTTAAATTTTCTTTTCTTTTGTGATTCCGTATGTTTTTCTTCATGCATCTAAATAAAGTCATTCTAAGAAAGAGTTGACTGGTCTTGCCAAATACCAAAGGGACTCAGGGTACAAACAAGGGTCGAGACGACAATTCTGAGCATTCCACAGTTCAGACATTTTCTTCCTCTTCTTTCTCTAAATGGAAATGATCACCTAGGATGTGGCTTCTAGATCTTGTTCTAACTTTCTGTACTACTCGAGGCATCTTTTTTTTTTTTTTTTAAAAAATTTATTTATTTGTGCATACAGAACTGGGGTACAGGCCAGAGGCTCAGGGGCGGCGAGAGGCTTCACCAGAGACAGTGTGGGGAGCAGTACAGGCAGATGGACGAAGTACACTGCTGAGGGGAGCAGCGGGCGGGTCAGGAGAGGTCTGCCACACCATGTGGTCACCTCCGGGGCAGGCGGGAATAGAACTCATGCGGAAGCAGCTTTAGCTTCTTAGTGCTGTGCTTTAACCCGCTGCGCCACCAGGGAGGGCCAACTCGAGGCATCTTAATTCCTAACACAGGAATCTCTCTTGAAATAAAGGTCTTTTGAAATATAGGAAATTCTATCAGTGTATTCTAGAAAAGATTTTATACAAATAAAATTCTTAAGATGCTACCAGTCTTTTCTTTAAAGTTTTATCCTTTAGATTAAAATGTTTTCCCTTTTTGCTCTAATATAAACTTTATAAATTGCTAGCTTTAGTTCCCTACACACCCTGCCCCCGCAAACTCTATTAGTAGTTATAAAAATATTTGTAGTTGCTAATGATGAAAAACTGCATGATGCAGTGGGTGGAGTTTTAGAAAAGGAGGTAAGATTTGGGGGTGTGATTTTATATTGCTACTAGCTAAATATGTCACCTGGAACAAGCGAGATGACCTTTCTGAGCTCCTGCTTTATCATTTATAAAACAAGTTTTACTAAACTAGGTCCCTTTTAGAATTTTCTGATAAAAAAGAAGGAAATAATTCAAGACATGAGAGCATCCAAAAAGAATATGGACACATGTTCTGTGAGACACACGCAGGCAAATATTCATCATTTAACATACTTTTATAGAAAGTTGACACAAATGTGACTCATTACAGCATGCTACCAGATTCACAAAGGACATTTCACTGACGAAGCCATATAGATGGTCAACATATATATGCAAGGATATTCTTCCTCACTTATCATCAGGGAAACACAAATCAAAATCACAATGAAATCTCACCTCACATCTGCTCGAATGACTGTTATTAAAAAGAAACAATAAGTACTGGTGAGGCTATAGAGAAAAAGGAACTTTCACACACTGCTGGTGGGGAGGTAAACAGGTGGAGCCACTCTGGAAACCCGTATGGAAGTTATAAAAACAGAACCACATAAGATCTAGCAATCCCACTTCTGGGTGTTTATTTGAAGACAATGAAAATGCTCATTCAAAAAGAGATATGCGGGCCCTCCCTGGTGGCGTAACGAGTTGAAGAACAGCACCATGATGCTGGCCACAGCTGCTTCAGTGCAAGTTCAATCCCTGGCCATGGAGGTGATCCACATGGCGTAGCAGACCTCTCCTGACCCACCCGCTGCTCCCCTCAATAGTGTACTTTGTCAATCTGCCTGTGCTGCTTCCTGATGAATCCTCTCACCGCCCCAGTTCTATATGCATAAATAAATAAATCTTTAAAAAAAGAGAGATATCCACCTCTATATTCATGATGGCCAACCGATGGATGAATGGATAGAGGCCCTCCAAACATTAAAAAACAATTAAAAGAGGGCCCTCCCTGGTGGCGCAGTGGGTTAAAGCACTGCACTGAGAAGCTGAAGCCACTTCTGCATGAGTTCAAATCCCGCCTGCCCCGGAGGAGACCACACGGCGCGGCAGACCTCTCCTGTCTCGCCCGCTGCTCCCCTCAGCAGTGTACTTCGTCGATCTGCCTGTTCTGCTCCCC